TGAAGTAGGAGGGAGATTATTCAAATGCGGCCACCATCAGTGCCGCAGGACTAAGGAGCTTCTCCGTTCCTCCCAGCAGCCCCATGACATAGAACTGTCGTCACCACCATGCCGCAGTTGGACAGTCTGGGCACAGAGCGGTTAGGTAACTTGCCAAGAATACACAGCTCAAAAAATGATGGAGTCATAATCTAAACCCAGGTCTGTGACTCCAAAACCCATGTTCTTCCCTCCTGGGTTTCCCGTCACAGACGTCTGCCTCCACGCGGGGAAACACACCCCGCCAACACCCGCTTCCGTGTGCATGGCTGAGTTTCTCCCACGTGGACCCACCACCAGAGTCATTCTCTTAGGCTTCATCCCCTCTACGCCCGCCAAAAACAAGAAGGAGCTGTTTGGAGAACCCAGACACGCTGAATGAGCAGGGACCTGGGAGGCTGCAGCTTGGGTGGAAGGGGCGCGTGACTAGGGGAATGGTCGTGAAGCTGCATTTGCAGCGCGAGCTCACTTTTTACAGAGGCTGTTGGCTGTTAGTTTGGCGAGGGGTACTTTGTTGAAAATTGAGGGGAGCTGAACCCCTGGAAGCCCCCTCTTGGCACCACTACTGCCTGATGAGGTACTGGCAGGGGTGAGGGGGGCAGGAGAGGGTCAGGGAGATTCTAGGGAAGGAAGTACCACCCGCCGGGGGCCCTGGCGTGGATGGAAGGCTGCACATTTTGTATTCAAGGAAACAAGGCTTCACTGTGCCAGCCGAGCCCAGCCCAGCCGAGTCCCGCCTGTGAACAGCCAACAGACGGGCTCTCATGGAAGACAAAACTCGCGTTCTGCTTCTGCTGTCCAAGAGGTGCTGCAGCCTCCTGGGTCCAAGCAGGGCCCAAGGATCACAGCCAGGGCTCTGCTGGGACACTTCCACCCTCATCTGCAGCTCCCATGGCAGAGGGAAGGGGAGCCTGGCCCCCCTGGGAAGCCATCCCCCAGAGCAGAGTGCAGGAGATGGGAGAGGGCAGAGGGAGCTGGGAGCTGTACTTGTCTTGGAGGCCAGGAGCTAGGAAGTGGGGCTTTGTCCTGGCTCTGCCACTCAGTTACCTAGTCTGCCTGCCCCCCCTGGGCCTCAGTCTTCCCATCTGTGAAAGGAGCATGATGTATCTGATGATTCCCAAAGGTGATTCACCAATGACTTCCTTAGTTCTGAGTCGTCCGGAACCCTCCCGGATGGCAGAACTGCCTTCCAGGGTCTTCCAGTTCATCCATTCAGTGATCATCAGCAGATACTTCCTAAGGATGGAGATGGAGGGAGATGAGAGGGGGCAGAGGGAAGGTAGATGGGCTTTCCGTCATCGCTGACCTCACGCTGCTGGTAGTTTCCATCTGGGAGAGACCTTCGGGGTTGTCACCAATGCTTCTCCCCCATTTTACAGAAGAGGAAACTGAGGCCCAGGAAGGTGTAGTGACATTCCTGGGGAGATTTTCCGTGGCTGAACCAGAGCATCCTTATCTATACAGTGGGAAACGTGGTCCCTGCTTCTTGAGGTGGGACGGGGGGAGGTGATGCACGCAGAGCTCTGGCAAGGTGCCAGGCACCTGGAGGCACCTGGACTCTCAGTCCTTCCTCCTCTTGCAGCTTCAGGCTGCACCCCTCACCTCTAATCCGACCCTCTGCCCTCCTCTGTCTGCCCATCCATCCAGGGCTGCTCTGGAACCCTCCAGGCAAGGGGCAGTGGTGTGGACCCAGAGGGCCTCAGGGCAGCCACCTCTGGCCTGGCAACAGCCTGCGTGGGGCTCTGCGGGGTGATGTAAGCCGAGACCTGCCAGAGAGGAAGGCAGCCATGTAATTCTGAACCCGCCGTGGAATCCGAGGAAGATGTCCTAGATCCCTGCCCTGCCCAGCCTCGTCCCCAGCCACTTCATCTCATGACCCCTTGCGTCAGAGAAGAGGGGGGCTTCCCTCTCTCCTTCCCACCTTGCCCTCCCCTCCTCTCCACCCGCTACGCCTCCCTGGTGTCGCCCTAGGCTCCTGCAGCTCACAGCAGCACCACCGCCTCGTCCTTCCTGGAGGGCTGTCTGGTGCAGTGGTTAAGGGCAGGGCCTTTAGAGTCAGCCGCCCTGGGTTGGAATCCCAGCCTTGGGCCCTGGGGCAAGGCATGTAAACCCTTCTGAGCCCCGGTTCCTCACCCTGGAACAGGGAGAATAACAGAACCCACCTCGCAAGGTTGTGACGAAGTGCCCGGCACAAAATAAGTACTTTCCAGGTTCCTGTCGCCACCATCCCCAGCCCTGGTGGTGGCGCCTAGCACGGAGATTCCTCCACAGAAGCCACTGGCTGACTCTACCTACCCCCATGGAGCTGCCCGGCCTGCCAGACTGGCAAGAACCCTCTTGCTTTGGGCTGGAGTGACGGGGACCCAGCATGAGAACCTTCTTTCCCTCCTGCTGAACCGACATTTTCATTGACGGCTACATATGGCTTTGATAAATATCAAAAATGGGAAACCGAATTCATGATCACTTAACTACGTGGAAGGCAGGTGGCAGAAAAAAGGGCAGCGCAGACAGCAGCCCTGGGATGACACAAAACTAGGACTCCAGCGCCCGTCTGCCACCGCCCGGACAGGGTGCTCTGCTTCTCAGCGCCTGTTTCCCCTGGGGCTAAAGAACCTGCCTGGTAAAGTCCTGAGGATTAAGTTTTAAAAAGTCCTGGGGAATTC